CCTAAACCCTAAACCCTAAACCCTAAACCCTAAACCCTAAACCCTAAACCCTAAACCCTAAACCCTAAACCCTAAACCCTAAACCCTAAACCCTAAACCCTAAATGAACAGTGATCCTATACCCTAAATGAATAGTAATCCTAGACCTTAAATGAACAGTCATCCTTTACCCTAAATTAACAGTAACCTAAACCTTAAACGAACAGTAACCCTATACCCTAAAGCTCTAAATGAACAGTGACTCTATTCCCTAAATGAACAGTAAATCTATACCCTAAATGAACAGTGAACCTATACCCTAAATGAACAGTGATCCTAGACCCTAAATGAACAGTCATCCTATACCCTAAATGAACAGTAACATTAACCCTTAATCCTTAACCCTATAAATATACAGTGTATATTAATAGTATATCTTAGTTCATGAACAATAACCCCTAAGCTTAAATTGTGAAAAGTCACCCGTAACACCGTAACCATAATCCTAGACTATCAAGAAACAATCCACAAATGTTACAGTTCGTCCCGTGTGAGTTCTCATTCAGCCATATTGTCAACTAACTCTGCGATATTCTTCACTCATTCGGGCAGTAGGCTTCTACAGGTACCAAACCATTTTTATTAAAGTATCAAACTAGATAGCAGAATATAAAGTTATATATAGTATCTACTAATCTGCGAAATCTTAAGTAAATATAATTTTTAATAAATTCCACAATATCAAAGCCATTAGATCATTACAGAGTATAAAGTAATTGTCGTTACAGAGGACTCTCTCTCTTCTCTCTTTCATATCCTTTAGAGAGAGAGTCGAACTTTGTTCTTTAGTCCGCCGTCCGGAAACTCCGGCAAGGCCGTCCGGTTAGTTTTAACCGGCTTCAGCCCAACATCCATTGGCAATTCTCATGCTATGGTTGGTTGGTTCTCTTCTTGACATCTTCTGACTCTGTTAGCGGAGATGGTCGGTTCTCATCCGGCAAATCGACTTCTACATGCGGTTTGGCCGGCGTAATAGTTGCTTTTGTTTTGAATCGGTCTTAAACTGATTGTTATAGTTTGTTTTTACTTTTTATTATCTTTAGATTTTATGATTTTTTTTAATAAGCGCCTCATATCTGGTTTGGGGATTAGTGTTGTGTGCCTTAAATCTATTAATCTCTGGCTAGATCTTTTGAAGATTTCGAGTTACAGGAATCGCTTAGAGATGACATCTCTAGTTTGAAGGAGCGAAGAATTTTCCGACGCTTATTTGGATTTCCTTATGCTGTTAACTATCATGAATCTTTGATGGTTAAGCTTCCGTGATTACCAAAAGAATCACAATACAGTTCGATTGTTTTTCGACGATGATTCTCTCACCGGAATCACTGCTCAAACAGCAGAGGTTGTTATCGGAATCCTTCTGATTACTCATCTAACACGTATTGAGGTTTATCCTCTTGATGACACGTGTTTTTAGATTGAGTCAAAAGATCAAAGATGATATTTCTTCTCAGGAGTCGGTGTTATTTTGGTAGGCTCTGGTTTGGGCCTCAACTTTTCTGTAATCTCTTAAGAGGCTTGTATGTTGAACTTTGTATTGTTCGGATGTTTAATATAATATTTCATTTGAGAAAAAAAAAAAAGAGTATAAAGTAATTGTCTAATTGGTTTTTTTGAACTCAGTGGACAAGCTTGGGCGAGTGGTAGCGTCAAAAAAGAATTGCTAGAAAACCAGTCAATATGAGCTGCATTATACCAGCATGGCCGCATACAGGATTAGGTGTGGACTTCACTCCATCTTTTGTTTTCCAAATTTCGATTGTTAGCACTGAAAAATAGCAGCATCTTGGCCACAGCCCGATGTTTAGTTGAGCCAAACCATTGTCAACTCCAAGAACCAGAGCTCATATAATATTCGATGCGAAAAAGCATACTACTAGAATTCATGGTTTTCAAAACTAACAACACAAGAAACTCGCAATAACTCATCAATAAACAAGAGACATAAAAACAACCAAATTTCAGTCACAGAATCCCAATAGATTCAACTCGTCCTTGACATGTCACACGCTGATTTCTTCTCTATATAGGCTTGATTTTGAAGTGCAGCGAGATGAGCGAAAAAACAAGACACTTCAAGTCCTGCAACCATGAATATTTCAGAGGGGATATATTAGAGCACGAAAAATTACAGAAAGATGCTAACAGGATTGATAGAGAGGGAGAGAGAGAGAGAGCAACATCAGAAAATGCCTCCCAAACAAATAATATGTATAATCAGGCCTATATGTTAAAGTTTGACACTGTGAATCAGTGAAAGAAGCAGAGTCCTAAATACTCTCTGGAAAATAAGACCTTAATGTTTCATCCTAAAATAATGACGGAAGGCATGGGGTTGGGAGAGAAAGAGAGGAGACCTGAACAAGATAGTAGAAGATGCGAAGTCCTTCAGGATCATTACTGCTCTGGACATCAACAAGAGATCCAATCTTAGATGTAGCGAAGGAGATATGCTCATTTCCCATGACGATCTCAAGCTCTTGCTTTCCAACACGGTCAGGTTCCGGCCAGTTTTTATCATCTTCTTTCATTATCTACCAAGACAAAAGTAAAAAAAATAACATCATCCATGGAAAGTAAACGAAGTTATGTCCTAAAAAGCGGAATGATAATAGCAGCATCACCAAAGACAAGGGTTCTAAATCTACAACACTAGTATTATCCTCTCCTCGGTAAGTTTCAAACAACATTCCAATCGAGCGTAAAGATAGATGCCCTAAGTTGATAAAATATAATTAAGATCACACAAAAATAAAAATAAAAATAAAAAACCCTAATTGACTATAGCGGTGGCGTAGATTGACCAAAACGCGGAGAGTAAAATAAAATATAAAATCATGAGAAGCAAATCGGAAGAGGGAAGAAGAATACCTCGCTCTCGGAGACGATACGCTTGCATTCCTTTAAAACGGCGGGGGTGAGAAATACCTCCTTCCGGATCATAGTATCGTTCTTGTAGTTAGAGTTATTGGCGTAACGGAGCTTACCGTCGGATCTAAACTCAAACTCCAGGAACTCGTGTCCGAATTTCCCTTTGTGCCCAACATAGTACCTCAGCTTGAACTCGTTCTCTTCTTCCCCGGCCATGGCTTCTCTCTCTCTCTCTCTCTCTCGATTTCTCCTTCCTGATTTTTTATACCTCACAAAAGAGAAAACCATTTTTATGGGCTTAAACGAAACCATTTTTATGGGCTTACGTTTCAGCCCAGGTATAAGCTCTGGCCCATTAAAAGAAATTAAGGCCTAGTTTTTAATTTTCCGGTTTCTATCAGAAAGCTCGTCATTCATTTGGTCGGCTTCCTGATTTCGATTCCCCGATCCCGACGATGCCGACGGATTCGAAAATGGCTAAGTTTCTTCAATCCTATGGTAATTTTGTACATGTTCGTTGTCGTATTAGGCCAGATGAACTCTTTTCTTTTATTTCTGAAATTTTCGGTTCTTTTTCTGGTTTTTTTTTTGAAAAAATTGGTGGGAGCAGGATATGATGTGATCCTGGGATCTGTTGCTGCAATTTATGTGGTCATGGCACCATATACTAAGGTGGAAGAGAGCTTCAACGTACAGGTTGGTGGTACTCCTTTTCTATTGGAAATTTTTAGAGTCTCACTCTTTCTTCTCCGTTTTACTGAGCGTTTTCGCCAATTCTGAAGTCAATGCACGACATTCTTTACCATCGCCATCATTTGGACTCTGTGAGCGACCTCTCTTTTTTTTTTCTTTTTAATTCTCTGGAGCTTACGGCATTTTTGAACTCCAGACTAATGTAAAATTTTGCCTGACGTGCTTCTGTCTCAGTATGACCATTTAGAGTTCCCTGGTGTTGTCCCTCGAACTTTTATTGGTAAGGAGTGTTGAATCACGCTCTCTTTCATCATTAGTGTTTTTCTAGTGGATGAGTTTTTGTTTCTACTATGATTTTTTTTTTCTTTTGCAGGAGCGTTCATAGTCTCTCTTTTTGCATCACCAGTTGTTTCAGTTATCAGTTGGCTAGGCTTCCCCAAGATTTATAGCCTTGTTGCAGGTTTCTCTTCTGTTTCTCCCTGTATTTCCTTAATGGATCGCTAACCAATTTCCGATTCACATATATACTTTCATCATATTGACTTGCAGCTCGTTTGGTGTTGGGCTGCATCATATTGTCCACACTAAGATTTTTCCGGATTCAGGTATATAGTTTCTTTGCTAGTAAGTTTCTCTCGTGTTTGTTTCCATGCTACACTTGCCTATTTGATTCTTTGTCCCTTCCCATGTCGTTAGAGTTGTGGTCTCTTTCATGCATCTTGTTGGCAGTATTTCTCCTCTACACTGACTGAAAGCTACTTCTTTTACAGATAAGAAATAAGTTTGGACATCAGGTGGAAACTTTCTTTGTACTTCTAACCAGTTTTCAGTTTCATTTTCTTTTCTACTGCACTCGTCCTCTACCTAATATTCTAGCTTTGGGATTAGGTAATTACTTCTATTCATCTGACTCTACTAGTAATGGTCTCGTAATCTTTCCCATGGCCCATCTAGTGTAAGCCTTATTAGGTGCTGCTAATGTTGTGAAATCTGGATCTTGCAGTTAATCTGGCATATGGTAATTGGTTAAAGGAAAACTTTTATTCAGCTTTGAGTTTCCTGGTATGTATGATATTCGTGGTAACATATCTTCCTGATCATAATATCAGTCATGGTATCCAGAACTACGGGTTTGCTGACTTGTCTTTATCTAATAATCAGATTTTTGCCACTGTTATCTTCAGATGCGATACAATGTTACTGCTTGGGCCTATTGGTCTTGAACTTCTACTTGTGAGTTAGTCATAAATATTTAATAGTTTCGGTACTGAGCTTCTGTATATGTGTAATTTGTCATGGACTTTGTCGGTTCCATCTGATGTGGGTGTTTAATGTTTATCAATGACAGACCAAATCGATCTCCTTCTGGAAAGCACTTAAGTATTGTGTTGGAACCGCGCTGTTGGCTGTAGGTTGGTTAAAGTTCCTCATTATTTTGTAATCTATTTGCCCTTTCCCTTCAGATGCTTGTTCCCGAGTCAGGTTTTTTTGGTCATGGAATATTCCGTAACACAGGTCTTACCATTTTCATTGACTCCATCATGTGGAAGAAGTTTGTCTGGCCAGAATTCGAAGTTTTCTGGTTTAACTCCATTCTAAACCGGAGTTCTGACTGGGGTGTATCCTTCACAATTTGTTTCCTCGATTTATTTATTTTTCGTATGATACATAATGTTTTTGCATCTTCACTTACTGATTAAAGGATTGCCTTTTTAAAATGATAACCATTTGGAATCTCCATACAATAGTGTAACTGCAAATGAAATTCAATGTTGTTCCTTGAAAATTAGTTGCTAACCAGACACATTCTGTACACTGGTACTTTACTTCGGCACTCCCACGATCTTTACTTTTAGCTTATCCACTTTCACTGGTAAATACCAGACCTCCTAACTTCTGTCATATTGTCTTGTTCCTTTCTAGTTAGGAACTCTAATTGGATCTCTATATATTTTCCTATTTGTTTTCTTTTTATGCAGCTTGGTACTTCAGTTGATAGGAGGCTTCCATTCTTTAGTCTCCCAATTTTATCCTTCGTTATACTATACTCTAAACTTCCACACAAGGTATCCAGATGGATTACTTATCTCAGTAGGTGTCTTAACCATTTTCTAACACTGGTGAAGCTATCTTTCTGTATATATGCAGGAACTCCGATTTATCATTAGTTCAGTGCCAATGTTCAACTTGTCTGCTGCAGTTGCTGCTAGCAGAATGTATAAGTTATATCAGATATTTGCTACCTAAGCTTCAATTCATAGCTAGGACGTTTGCTTCTTCAGTATCTTAGAGCTCTTTGGATACACTTAATTTCTGAATACCACTTTAAATTATTACTAACAAGCCCCAACCTCTTAAAATAATCTATTTCATTGTACAGCTACAATAACAGGAACAAAACTATTTGGAAACTTGTGAACATGGTTATGTTAGTGTTTTTCGCAATCAGGTAGAGTAAGCAAATATATTTGCTATGTAAGAGAAGGAACGGGATTTGTTAGTCTACTTAACCTGGTTCTATAGTGCAGGGTGCACGGTTGTATCATTCATGGCATCTTACTACAATTATCCAAGCGGCTATGCTTTAAAGCGCTTGCATCAAATAAGTGAGTGACTTGTTCTTGATATTTTAGATGCATTGACTAAGGTACTAAAAAAGAAACATATGTTAGTTAGAGTTAGTTTGTCTCACATGCCACATAAGATACGTGATCTTTTTTGTTTTGTGGTGTATATCTACCTCTGGTTGATAATTTGCCTACAATATGACTAATTTACCTAGTGCCTTCCATGCTTCGCAGGCCATCCTGTAAATGTAGCTGGAGAAGAGTGGGTTCACATAGACACTTTTGGTGCTATGAATGGAATATCTCGCTTTTGTGAAGATGCTTTTCCGTGGAGGTATGGTTGATTCTTTTTTCTATGTATGTTAGCTGTCCTACCCTGTTTTAGGGGTGTTAAAAGTAAAGGAAATATATATATACATGGTAAAACAGTTGTCACATAAAAGCAGCCATTTGTGCGAGATAAAGGATCTGTTTTGTTTTCATATTCATTTTCTTAGAGCCGAATAACACTTAGTTGGGGAAGGAATAATTATCTATCGCCTTTGAATATGTAGAAGAGGGTATATGTTTAGATATTTAGGAGGAGATAAATTTTATGGTGCAATGCAGATACTCAAAAGAAGAAGAGATCAGAGTGGAGGAGTTGCAAAACCGAAATTTCACGTATCTGGTGAAGTGAGTATTTCATCATAAAGTAGAAAGCAATTCATAGTAAAACAAAAGAAAAGATACCTCTAGACCAACATGTAATCTGTTGTCATGCTTTGTGCAGCGAGCACTCCTCTGTCGATGGATACAAGTGCTTGTTTTATGAAGAAGGATTTGAGAGACTTGAACTTCGCCGAGGTTTCCCTCCCATTGTCCTGGTAAATTGGTTGACGTGGGGCTAATATTTCATCAAAATAGGTGCATAGAATGTAAGGTTGAGGTGAAAATGTTGAATTGCAGGTAAAAAGGCCCAAAGTATTCGTGCACCAAGATATGAGGAAGGAAGATCCTTGGCATAAGAAATGGCCTGGATGTTAGCAATCGAACAAAAAATAGAGACAATGTTTTGGGTTTATGTAGCAGCTTTGTTGTCCTTAGGGAGGAGATGCTTGACTCACTGTGTTAGATTGAAACCTTCTGTTTCACTCGCTGTTTGAACGTGTACTCTAGCTTGACTCACTGTGTTTGATTGAAACCTTCTGCTGCACTCGCGGTTTGAACGTGTACTCATTAGCTTTACAAACTAGTGTACTGTGTTAGATTGAAACCCTCTGATTCATGCAGTAACATCGGTCTTTGGGCCTTGAACTTTGCACAATTGAATTGATGGTCCTTTCATTTGTTTGACCAGTTTAGCCCCTCTTGTCTTTTCGTTTAGGAAAAATAAAACATTCGCATCGACTTATCCAAAACCTAACGAGAGTGAGAGAGAGATGCTGCTTCAGGCGGTCCAGAACCGCAATGTTCCTCTGGCTTCCTCTGCCTCCTATTCTCATCTCCCTCGCTGCAGATCTCCTGTCATCTGCGTAGCTCCCTCGAAGAAGACGGCAGCAATCGTGTGTTCCATCTCCCAGGTGTATGGCTATGGCACGGTGGATTACGAGAGAAGGCCGATTATCCAGTGGAATGCCATCTACAAGAAGATATCTCTCATGGAGAAGCCGGAGCTCGGTGCTGCTTCCGTCTTGAATCAGTGGGAGAAAGGAGGCCGCAAGCTTACCAAGTGGGAGCTCTGTCGGGTCGTCAAGGAGCTTCGCAAGTACAAGCGTCCCAACCAAGCTCTCGAGGTCCGTGCTGTCCTCGCGTTTCTATGTATTTCTCTTTAACTGTAGTTTTAACCCTACTGTATCGTTTCATTTTTCATAGGTGTACGACTGGATGAACAACAGAGGCGAAAGGTTTCGATTGTCAGCAAGTGATGCTGCAATCCAGCTCGACTTAATCGGCAAAGTGCGTGGCATTTCAGACGCCGAAGAGTTCTTCCTCACGCTCCCTGAGACTTTCAAGGACCGTAGAGTTTATGGTTCCCTTCTCAATGCCTATGTGAGGGCCAAGTCTAGAGAAAAAGCTGAAGCCCTGCTCAACACCATGAGGGAGAAAGGATACGCCCTGCATCCGCTTCCCTTCAACGTCATGATGACTCTCTACATGAACCTTAGGGAGTACGACAAAGTTGATGCAATGGTCTTCGAGATGAAGCAGAAAGATATACGTCTCGACATTTACTCCTACAATATCTGGCTCTCCTCCTGTGGCTCCCTAGGATCAGTTGAGAAAATGGAACTAGTGTATCAGCAGATGAAATCAGATGTTGCTATTAATCCCAACTGGACCACATTTAGCACAATGGCCACCATGTACATTAAGATGGGCGAGATTGAGAAAGCCGAAGATGCACTGAGGAAGGTTGAAGCAAGGATTACTGGCCGTAATCGCATTCCATATCACTACCTCTTGAGTTTGTACGGCAGCGTTGGTAACAAGAAAGAGTTGTACCGGGTCTGGAACGTCTACAAATCTGTTGCCCCAAGCATTCCCAATTTGGGTTACCATGCTCTGGTCTCGTCGCTGGTGAGAATGGGAGATATTGAAGGAGCCGAGAAGGTATATGAGGAATGGCTTCCAGTCAAGTCTTCTTATGACCCCAGGATACCAAATCTTCTCATGAATGTGTATGTTAAAAACGACCAATTAGAGAAAGCTGAGGGGTTGTTCGACCACATGGTCGAAATGGGAGGAAAACCAAGTTCAAGTACGTGGGAGATCCTAGCTGATGGTCATACCAGAAAGAGGTGTATTCCAGAGGCGTTGACTTGCCTGAGAAAAGCTTTTTCGGCTGAAGGGTCCAGCAATTGGAGGCCAAAGGTGTTGATGTTGTCAGGCTTCTTTAAGCTCTGTGAAGAGGAATCGGATATTACTAGTAAAGAGGCCGTTTTGGAATTGTTGAGGCAGGCCGGGCATCTTCAAGACAAATCTTACCAAGCTCTAATTGATGTGGACGAAAACAGAACAGTAAACAACAGTGAAAACGATGCTCATGAGAGTGACGGGACCGATGTGCTTCTATCGCAGCTACAAGATGATTAATCAAATAGTCCTAGATTTTGCTTTAAAAGACGAATGTTGTAACTGAAATCAACTGAGGATTTGAGATATATAACAAGAGACTGCCTAGTGAAACCCGAATGTAAGAGCTGTGTCCCTTGTTATTATCTTATGACAATTTTTTTGGTTGTGGGATTAATGTTGCAGATTAATAATATGGTGCTTACGGAATTGGAGTAGCCTTTTTGGTCACTCCTTATGTTTTTGTTGGCTCCTTTTTTTATCCACCACAGACGAAGCGGACGAAGCTAAGGAGAGAGGCCGCACACTTTATTTTGGGCCAAACATAGAGGCCCGATAATGAATTTATAAGCTTGAGTGTCTGAAAGGCCCATTTTTAACGAGGTATCCGCACGCACGGAATTCGTTGTGAGAGAGAGAGAGAGAGACGGTGATCGGGAAATGACGACGAAAGGCGCGGCTGCGGCGTACCCTAGCGCGGCTCGGATATCTGATTCTCCATGTTATCTTCAGTACTCTGCTTCTCTCAAATGTGAGTCACGCTTCCTTCGTCCCCTCCCAGTAATTTCTTTCTGTTTCGAGGAATTATTCTGCTTCTGTCAAGATTCACGAGTTCAATAACCCATACCGTTGATTAGATCTCATATATAATTTCAGTATGTAATTATGTACTCATCTGTTGTGGGTTGAATCCCTTTTCTGAATTTGAGTGTGGATCTAATAAGTTATTGATTAGGTCCCATCTGTTTTGTTTTGTTTTGTTCAAAAGGTCCTATCTGTTTTGATTCCTGGTTGTTTATGTCACATAAATTATGTGTTTTCGTTTTCTTCCTTATGCCTTAGCTCTTGACCGGTTTCATGATTGAACTCTCTCAGGTCTTGAAGAATTTGGATCCGACAAGAGTAAATGCCAGGATCATTTTGATGTGTACAAAGAATGCAAGAAGAAAGAGGTTATTGTGAAATCACATTTAGGCTTTGCTAGTTTGCTGTTTCCAAATTCTCTGCTTACATGTGTTTTGTTTCTCAGAGGGAAGCTCGATTGGAACGCAATAAGACACGTTCGTTGTTCTCGTGAATGCCGATGATGTCTTAGAAGGTCAACTTCTAGTATCCTGTTTTTTCATTTGCAATGACACCTCTGAAAAGTGGTGCTCTGTATTTACTTACTTGTTTGTATGGTCTTGAATAAATCAGTATCAAGTGGAAATGTGTTTGTTAATGTTATTTTACTCCCGGTCGACAAAAAAAAAAAAAATGTTATTTTACTCCCAGTTCCCATTAGTGATGGATATGTTACGTTGAGAGCAAGTTTGATATCAAGTTGTTGGAGCTGCTCCGTCTTGAATTAGAAGAGAGCAAGGACATTTAATATTAAAAATATTTGGTTTGTCATCTGAATAATTCATATGAAACTTCAACGTTTTTACAATAATTCATATTATCGCTTTACTTATAGTCTTATACTCTCCCGGCTGCCTTCAACTATTTTTTTCATTCCAGTGGTTTGTGTTGTAACTAGGGATTGCAGTGTTTAAAAGGGCTACATTGGGCTTAAAACTATTAAATGGGCTTTCGTTAAGCCTTAAGATAGTGTTGGTGAGCTGTCAGAAGAAGAGAACTCATCAGAAGCCTTAATTCGCCTTTGACGTTCCATTACTTGCGCCTCCTTTGATTGACTGTGTCGTCTTCCTCACGCGTTCTATCTCTCTCTCTTATTTGATTTGGTGATCGGATTCTTCTTCACCCGATTTTCTTCTGAGAATAATGTACCCGCCACCTCCCTCAAACATCTACGCTCCGCCGATGCTTGTGAATTGCTCCGGTTGTCGGACGCCTCTCCAGCTTCCATCCGGCGCCCGATCTATACGCTGCGCTCTCTGCCAGGCTGTTACTCATATCGCCGACCCTCGCACCGCCCCTCCTCCTCCTCCTCACACACCTTCCTCCGCATCTCCTCCCCCTCCCCACATCAACGCGCCTCCCGGACAGCTGGCTCACCCCCATGGCAGAAAGAGGGCTGTGATCTGTGGTATTTCGTACCGTTTCTCTCGCCACGAGCTCAAAGGCTGCATCAACGACGCTAAGTGCATGCGACACCTTCTCATCAACAAGTTCAAATTCTCCCCAGATTCAATTCTCATGCTCACTGGTACAGTATTTATATGCCTATATTTGCTACTATCCTAGGAAATTTGGATTTTTTAATCTGAGAAAAACACTTCCGAAGTTGTCAGTTAACTTATCAGAACGCCTGAGCCAGTGTGATGAATGTAGTGAATTGTTCTTCATACTGAGTTTGATCGATGCTCAACTTGAATTCCATAGCTGACTAAATAATTGTTCATCATGGATGATTTTGTTTCTTTCCATCATTCTCAGAAGAAGAAACTGATCCATATCGTATCCCGACAAAGCAAAACATGAGGATGGCCTTGTATTGGCTCGTACAGGGATGCACAGCAGGCGACTCACTTGTCTTTCACTACTCTGGTCATGGTTCGCGTCAAAGAAACTACAACGGTGATGAAGTTGATGGCTATGATGAAACACTCTGTCCTCTTGATTTTGAAACTCAGGGGATGATTGTAGATGATGAGATCAACGCAACCATTGTACGTCCTCTTCCCCATGGTGTCAAGCTCCATTCGATTATCGATGCTTGCCATAGTGGCACCGTGCTGGATTTACCCTTCCTATGTAGAATGAACAGGCTAGACCCCTTCTTCAATTGCTGCTTAAAAGTGAAGTTGCTTACCTTTCGTACTGCTTGTTATAATTAACGAAAATCCATATTTGTTATTGAAACAGAGCTGGGCAGTATGTGTGGGAGGATCATCGGCCTAGGTCAGGTTTGTGGAAAGGAACAGCTGGTGGGGAAGCCATATCAATCAGTGGATGTGATGATGATCAGACTTCGGCGGACACATCAGTAAGTCACATGTATCTAGTCGTACTTCCTGCAATTTTAGTTGGTTCTTCTTCCACTCATGATTGAAACATATATATAGGCGCTGTCAAAGATCACCTCTACAGGTGCTATGACATTCTGTTTTATTCAAGCAATAGAACGCAGCACACAAGGCACAACATATGGAAGCATTCTGAATTCGATGCGCACCACAATAAGGAATACAGGGAATGATGGTGGTGGTATTGGTGGTAGTGGAGTTGTTACAACTGTGCTAAGCATGCTTCTGACAGGAGGAAGTGCAATTGGAGGATTAAGACAGGTACATTCCTTTCTTACTTTATTGTGTTGATACTGGTTGGTAATTTTTCTTATATATGTTTTGATTTGTTTTGTCAGGAGCCTCAACTAACTGCTTGTCAACCATTCGATGTCTATGCAAAGCCTTTCACTCTCTAGCAAAGACGACTTACTTTTATGTATAGCGAGTGCAATGAAATTCTGTCCATTTAACCAGTTATTTTTATTTTTATTTCCAAAGAATAAAGGAAAACATTGATTTAGTGCTTGAATAACAAAATGTGCCATCTATTCTTTAGTCCTTCCAAACAAGAAGCAAATGGTTTGCCTTTCAGAATCAACTCGGAAGGTGATGCTTAAATAGACAGAAGGAAGAAAAGAGAATTCCCAGAAAGCTGCTGAGAAGGCGCATGCAAATCATGTGTGCATTGCTACAAGGAAAAGCACTTCCGCTGTAACAACCTTTTCTTTGTTTGATGCCTCGGCCGTTATCTTCCAGAGTGAAGGAGGAATTTTTTCCACCATTGCTAAAGAGAAGGCACCAAAAGAAAGTACCTTTATGCAACCTAGCCACTCCCACCCCAACCTCGGTATGCGACCTATTTCTGAGTACCGACGAGGTTTTGTTATCTCTAAAGAGAATGTCTGAGAAAGCGACTTCTGGTGCTACATACTTTGCGCTGCAGCTGAGGATATGGCCTGTTATGGTTCCAAAAGTGGGAAGTTCAACACCACAGTTTGGGGCAAAAACCTGAGTGAAGTCGTCTTCAGGGGGTTCACAGACGAGAGTGTTGTTGATATTGCAATTCCCATCGCAGAACTCAACATACTGGAGGGCCATGCAGCCAAGACCAGGACTCTCATTCAGTTTGCTGAGTTTCCAAGATGTTCTGTTCTGGTTCAAGATGCTCACCATTTCATGAGCTGGGTTTCCTGCAACCATTATAACACTTAGTCCGTCTAAGAGTTGTAAGGATTAACTTAGGGATATCAATCAGCGTAACAATGAATAGTCGGTAAAATCTGGTTCCGAAAATAGAAAGAGAACTTGAGCGAAATCATAGAAAGACTGGTCCAATGCTGAAAAGAGAAATCCAAGTCTAGATTCGCATATGTAATGACTTACGAGGGGATAAAGCATATATAGAGAAGAAGTTACCGTGAAATTTGGAGCTAGCTAGCACTGAGAGTGAGAGAAACAGTAAAATCGACTTCAGAAGGCTAATATTGTTCTTCATCTCGTCTCGCGGACAAGTCTTGTTTTTTATCTTCCAATTCCCTGAGTGATTAGCTGAAGCTGGCGGATTTCAGGAAGAAAACAAAAAGGAACCAAAAAAAAATTAAAGAAACAGAAGTAGATGAGCTTGATGGAGATGGTGGTCCTGATCTGGTCCCTCATATATGAAATTAATAGGAAAAAAAAAAAAAAACGGGATTTTGGTTAATGGGCTTCGATGTTGGGCTCCTACAAGCATTGTAATTGAATGAAGAAAGAAGGGAAAGTACGTGACTTGAATTTCATTTACTTCATTAAATGGGCGGCGTTGGGGGCCGGTGGAGGTAGGCCAATAACATTCATTGATGTGCATAAACAGAGGTAAAGCCGAATTTTGGCAAAGTCATCATCAATGTCCGTCCATTGGCTCCTCTCCTTACCTATTTGGAGTTTGAGGTTTCCTTTGTTTTCTTAAAATAAATGTTGCTGCAACATTTCTAATATGGTATAGCGGGCCCCATCACCATGTGCTACTTCACAGTATCCCACATGGGACATGGTAAAATGCCTCTATATTATGTCACATTCTAAACAAGTATCTCCAACATTGCAGTTCCTCCAAATCTTCTTCGACAGTAGTCTAGCTCAAGTACCTTTTGGATGGCGTCGAGGCCCGGAGCTCTGACGGAGTGGCCATGGAGTCCCCTTGGTAACTTCAAGTACCTCTTGGTGGCCCCGTTTGTGATGGCGAGCATGCACACGTATGTTACGGTTGCGGATGAGGAGAAGGACCTTAGCAGACTGATGATAGTCGCGTTGATGCTGTGGAGAATAATTCACAGCCAGATATGGATCAGTGTGTCGCGCCAGAGGACGGCTAAGGGAACGAGGAAGATCGTGGACAAGCCCATTGAGTTCGAGCAAGTGGACCGAGAGCGCACTTGGGACGACCAAATCATCTTCAACACTCTCCTCATGTATCTCGCCAACATCAAGCTCCCAGGCGCCTCCCACCTTCCTCTCTGGAGACTAGACGGAGCCCTCCTCATGGCTCTTCTTCACGCTGGTCCTGTCGAGTTCCTCTACTACTGGTTCCATAGAGCTCTACACCACTATTTCCTTTACTCTCGCTACCATTCTCACCACCACTCCTCCATTGTCACCGAGCCCATCACGTGTACGTACCTTGCCATCATTTTCCTCTATCCTATATATAGATACATCCATTAATATCTTAAATCAAACTTGGCAGCTGTGGTGCACCCCTTCGCCGAGCACATCGCCTACTCACTACTCTTTGCCATACCCATGGTAACAGCGTCCCTATGTGGAATCCTCTCCATTGTTCCCATCATTGGATACATGACTTACATTGACTTCATGAACAACATGGGACACTGCAACTTCGAGCTTTTCCCTAAGCGTCTCTTCGACCTCTTCCCTCCCCTCAAGTTCCTCTGCTACACCCCCTCGTACGTTCTTTGTAAAGCACTACTATTTATTTATATTTTGAATGTATGCATGCATATATAATATGGCATCAAATACGTACGTTGAAGGTTCCACTCGCTTCACCACACGCAGTTCCGGACCAACTACTCTCTCTTCATGCCGATATACGACTACATCTACGGGACGACTGATAAGTGGAGCGAGTCACTATACGAGAGGTCCTTGGAGAGAGAGGAGGAATCACCCGACGTCATCCATCTCACTCACCTCACCACACACGACTCCATCTACCAAATGCGCCTTGGCTTCGCGTCCCTCTCCTCTATCCCCTTGTGGTCTCGATCCCCATGGTATCTCACATACTTCATGTGGCCCTTCACTCTCCTCTGCTCATTTGTCCTCACCCTTGCTCTCTCCTCGCGCACGTTAGTCTTTGAGCGAAACCGTATTCGTGACCTCACCCTTCATTCTCACCTCCTTCCCAAGTTTTCCTTTCACGTAAGCATTTTATACACATATGATCTAAAATGAACAATATATCTTTTCGATCGTGTGGGCATTTGCAATTAAAGTGAACAACAAATGTTTTCTCATGGGTATACCTTTCGAAATTTTCATCTAAACTTTACTTCTAATCTTGCCACATAAACATGTCTGGGTATACGTAGTATAAATCACAGCGCCACCATGAGTCCATCAACAAAATCATAGAGGGGGCTATCCTTGAAGCAGATGAAAAGGGTGTGAAAGTAATGAGTCTTGGCTTAATGAACAATGTACGTTTATTTACTTCAAATCCATTCTATATATAATATATATATATATATATATATATATATATATATATGAATAAGTAACTAATTAACATACGATTTACTAGAGCGAGGAGCTAAACAGATATGGAGAAATGTACGTGCAAAAGTATCCGAAGTTGAAGATAAGACTAGTGGACGGAAGCAGCATGGCAGCTGCTGTGGTGTTCAACAATATTCCCACAGAAACGACAGAAGTTGTCTTGAGGGGAAATCTCACAAAGGTCGCTTCCGTCGTTGTCTTTGCTCTATGTCGAAAGGGCGTCAAGGTGTGTATATATATGAAAAAATGGAATTTAATTACTCAGCTTCTCAAGCAAAACAAAAAATTATGTAGTAACGTGTATATTTGTATAGGTAGTAGTGTTAAAGGAGGAAGAACACAGCAAACTCATCAAATCTGGGATCGTCAAGAATCTGGTATTGTCTACAAGCAATAATTATAACTCCCCAACTGTGTGGTTGGTGGGGGATGGAATAGAGAAAGAAGAGCAAATGAAGGCAAAAGAAGGAACCCTCTTTGTTCCTTTTTCTCATTTTCCGCCCAACAAACTCCGCAAGGACTGTTTCTACCACTCCACTCCAGCTATGCGTGTTCCCAAGTCTGCCCAGAACATCGACTCTTGTGAGGTACATCTTTAAAGTTATTTATATACACTTTTATAGTATAAGATGCTAAATGTGTGCATAATCAAACGAATGAATGGTTGTTATTATATAGAATTGGCTGGAGAGGAGGGTGATGAGTGCGTGGAAAGTAGGAGGTATAGTGCATGCACTTGAGGGTTGGGAGGAGCATGACTGCGGCAACACTTATAACTTCTTCCGCCTCCACGCCATCTGGGAAGCCGCTCTTCGTCATGATTTCGAACCTTTGCTTTTCCCACCATCTCATCTATGAGCTTTTTATATGTATCCAGTTATCCCCATCTCTCTTGATTAATCTATAATCTTAGTTCCGGTCCAGCTTTGTTTGTTGTTTATCATGCTTTTTCCTATCGACTATTTAAGTTAGCGACACCTAATTAATTACGCTTGCTGCCACGTGCTTCAAGTGTATTCGAAATGGCAAACCATTAGGTCTATAATTACGTTGACCGATATAGTGATATGTTCATATGCATGTTTAGTTAAAATTCGAAAGAAAATACCTCCATGTTCATATGCGTGATTGGATTAATTACATCTTAACTAAAAAATATCTGGGTGCATAAGTACCCAAAAAAACAATATTTGGGTGCATCATCAAATCAAAGTAGTTGCAAAACTTGACGAGGTTTTACTTAAATGGTCCATCTTTATGCATGGTCCACTCGTTACCTAATTAAGGAGTGGTAGGGTATATGTCTGCGTATACAATTTGTGGCGGTGAGAGAAGGCGTTACTAAAAATGAAACGTACAAATACTATTCAAAGCTCGCTTAAGAGGTTGTGCCCTCTTGTTAGTCTTTACTCTTTAGACGATATAGATATTTCACTTTTCTTTCATTTAATGTTGGTGCAACAGACAGTAGCTGGCGCTTGATCAACGTGCATGATATCAATTGGCTAGTAGTTGCCAAGCAACAAAACCTAGCACATGCCCAACTTGGTTTATTAGTTATTCTTTCATGGGAAATTACCCTATTTCGATTATAATCAGATATATATATATATATAGTCATCCATTAAGCGGTGCATTTCTTGAAGACATGGATATGATCAGATCATCGATATACACATGAAGGTGGGAGAGGGGGTAATTAGCTGAGTGTCATAAATGAGGATCCATGTGGATAGCATCGAATGGGAGTAGTACATGTTTGGTCTTAGCTGGCCCCATCACAAGGAATCGGACTGGTGGGAAGATAGGGGTGGTTTCGTTATTCTACATCTATCAGTTAAGGAGTTTGATACCTCTCTATATAATGTACCTTGGCTGACAAGAGTTGGAGAAACACAGTGACTCACATACCCATATTACAATATTCGACGGTATAATGGCCACAAAACCAGGAGTCCTCACCGATTGGCCTTGGACATCCCTCGGGAGTTTCAAGGTACACTATCATGTGTTCTTTGTCTATGTATTTTTATATATGTATTAACACTGTCTATACCCCGCCTTATGATTGAATCCCCCGTTGCTGATATATATGCGTGTTTTTTATTTGTTTAACATGGAAACAATACAAAAGTACATAGTGGTAGCACCATGGGTGGTCCACAGCACATACAGGTTTGTGACAGATGATCCGGAGAAAAGAGATCTCGGGTACTCCCTCGTATTCCCCTTCTTGCTCTTCAGAATTCTGCACAACCAGGTTTGGATCTCTCTGTCCCGTTACTATACAGCGAAGGGAAAGAGGCGCATCGTGGACAAGGGAATCGACTTCAATCAGGTCGACAGGGAAACCAACTGGTGCGTTTTTATTATTCCTTATGCCTAGCATGCGCGCGAGCGCTAAGTATGTATTATTTCCACTAATAATAGTAGTCCTGAGTCCTGACATATACATATATATATGATGCAGGGATGACCAAATATTGTTCAACGGAGTGCTGTTTTATACAGGCATCTGCCTATTGCCGGAGGCCAAGCAACTTCCCTGGTGGAGGACCGACGGAGTGTTGATGGCAGCTTTGCTTCACGCCGGACCTGTGGAGTTCCTCTATTATTGGCTCCACAAAGCTCTCCACCACCACTTTCTTTACTCCCGCTATCATTCACACCACCACTCCTCTATCGTCACTGAGCCCATCACTTGTAACTCTTTCTTACCTTCGTTTCTCTATGCAGCGGACCGATTTTTAGGAATTTTGTTTAACATACGTATAAATTAATACATCGTTTAACGTCCTTATTAATTAGTAGCTATTATCTATGGCGTACACCTAATCGTCAATATATGCAGCGGTGATACATCCTTTTGCCGAGCACATAGCATACTTCATGCTCTTCGCGATACCGCTGCTTACGACGTTGTTAACGAAAACGGCGTCCATAGCGTCATTCGCCGGGTATGTAATCTACATAGATGTCATGAACAACATGGGACACTGCAACTTCGAGCTCATCCCCAAGCGCCTTTTCCATCTCTTTCCTCCCCTCAAGTTCCTCTGTTACACTCCATCGTAAGCCCTTTACACCTCCTCTGCTATTTCATGAGAGTCAGAGATGAGAGAGAGAGAGAGAATTTAAGACCAAAGTTTTAGAAACACAATTTGGCATAACATAAGCATAACCAACAGAAACCCTTTCTGATATCTATACAATGTAGTTCATACTAATAATTAATTAGGCAATCAAAAAATCTAAAGGAAATATTAATAAGGCATACTAATAACACCGCTTTACTTCCATATATACACATTCTCCTTTCCTGTATAACAAGGTGACGTGATATAGTTGTACCCTTAATATATATGATCGTCGTCAACTACCGAATCCCTGGACCACCCAAAAAAAACCATTTAATCATAAATCAGCACATACTCGATCGGCACATATTCCAACATTCACGTACTCATTAATAGCTTCTTTAACAAAACATCTTTTGATAAATAACTTGGTAGTATTTACTTTCATTGGGAGGATTCTGTAGTTCTATAAAATCTAAAGTTTAAACTACTTTTAATTATAAAAAATGAGAATTGCAGATTCCACTCGCTGCACCACACGCAGTTCCGGACCAACTACTCCCTCTTCATGCCCTTGTACGACTACATCTACGGCACTATGGATGAAACCACAGATACCTTGTACGAGAAGTCTCTAGAAAGAGGAGAAGATAGAGTGGACGTTGTGCATCTAACTCACCTGACAACGCCAGAGTCTATATACCATTTGCGCATTGGCTTGGCCTCATTTGCCTCCTACCCTTTCTCATATAGATGGTTCATGCGCCTTTTGTGGCCTTTCACCTCTCTCTCCATGATCTTCACGCTCTTCTACGGCCGCCTCTTTGTCGCTGAGAGCAACTCCTTCAAGAAGCTCAACTTGCAGTCTTGGATGATACCCAGATATAATCTACAGGTCCTCATCATCTGCAGCTTAATTAGTTGATCCTTTTAAATTCATTTTTAAGATATATATAGAGGCAGCTTAATATACTGATGCATATGTAATAACGGTGATATATATACGATGGATGCAGTACTTGTTAAAATGGAGGAAAGACGCCATCAACAACATGATCGAGCAAGCGATATTGGAGGCAGATAAAAAAGGAGTGAAGGTGCTTAGCCTGGGTCTCATGAACCAAGTAAAGAAACGATATATCACTGACTCTTTAATTTGGTTTTACATTGGGTAGATACCCTAGTGTTAAAGTTGTGGTGAACTGAAACAGGGGGAGGAGCTGAACATGAATGGGGAGGTGTATATCCGCAAGCATCCAGAACTGAAAGTGAGAGTGGTGGACGGCAGTAGATTAGCAGCAGCCGTTGTGATCAATAGTGTACCCAAAACAACTACAAACGTCGTGATGACAGGCAATCTCACAAAGGTTGCCTACTCCATCGCCTCTGCTCTCTGCCAGAGAGGTGTTCAGGTGCTTTGTTTTCTTCTTGGTCCTCTCTGGTGATGTCCAATAGAAAAGACATTTAGTGATGGGTTTAAATTTCTTTTAAGTCACTCCTTACATTTTCATGTGAATGTCATCCCCAGGTCTCGACCTTGCGCCTAGACGAGTATGAGAAGCTAAGATCATGCGTTCCACAAGAATGCAGAGACCATTTGGTCTATTTGACCACTGATTCACTCTCGTCAAAGAAGGTAGTTAAGAATATGAGTACACAAATATGCAAAGAAGCAGAATGATAATTAATTAAATGTGTTTGAGAGAGCTAATAAATATACTAATGAATATATAGCATACTAATCAAACTAAGTAATGGATTTTGGGTGAAGGTATGGCTGGTGGGAGAAGGAACAACTAGAGAAGAGCAGGAAAAAGCCACAAAAGGGACATTGTTTATACCATTCTCACAGTTCCCCCTCAAGCAGTTACGAAGAGATTGTATCTATCACACCACACCGGCATTGATAGTTCCAAAATCTTTAGTGAATATCCACTCCTGTGAGGTAATTACATAAACCTATCCAATCCAACTAATTTTCTTATATATATGTAAGAGGTTCTAATTAAAAAAAAATCATCTGCAGAACTGGTTACCGAGAAAGGCAATGAGTGCAACTAGAGTGGCCGGTATATTGCACGCCTTAGAAGGATGGGACATGCATGAGTGTGGCACATCCCTTCTCTCGGATTTGGACCAAGTATGGGACGCCTGTCTCAGCCACGGCTTCCAGCCTCTCCTCCTTCCACATCATTAAAACCAAACGCCAACCAAAACTATATATGGAAGCTTTTAGGAAAATGAGAGTTACACCCTGTGTGCTTCTTTTTCCTTTTGATCCAGCTCTCTTCCACACATGAACTATGAAACACATATAAAGCGTACACATTTTATGAATTACGTACACAAATATTTATGCATATCAAGCTGTTGGTGATTGATTATGGTATTAATAAGAGCACTAGCTATTTCTTTTTCTATATGTCAACACGCAATAGCAGTATCTATGTTCATCATTAGCTGGTTGGTTTTTTGGTTATTTTATTCCGTACAAAATTATTTAGTCTTGCTACATATATAGATGAAGACTCTAAAACATACACAGCTCTAATATATGATATGAATATTGCCATCACTTATACACAACTCAAAAGCAACAGGCTGGTTGAATACAAGTATGTGACTCAAACTGGGGTGCAACTCTTATAAATGGCACTACATGTACCACTGCATTAAAGGAAAAAAGGCCGAATTTTATGTATTATATCGAGGGCCGCAAGCTTATGCTTCACCAGCTTGATACATGGACCGATTCTATCTGCAAAAAGGCGGTGGTCAGCTTTTAGACGTTTCCACTACTCAGTCACAGCACATTCCAATCTAAAATCACAAGTCATAACATAAGATATCTTAGTCAAAAACAATCCAAGGAACTGAAGTCATCAAAATTACATTATTATATGAATTAAGAAAAAAACAATCCAAGGAACTGAAGTCATCAAAATTACATTATTATATGAATTAAGAGTAAAAGAGTTAATAGGTCCCTCTGGAGGAAGTGGATGACATGACACCGTCGGGCATACACAAAAGACACCAGTTTGCAATTTCTTTTAAAATATTTGGCTTTATTGGGCCGGGCTCACAACTATTTTCAGGCCCAATTCTCTTCTTTAGTTCTTCTCCCCTCTCTCTCTGTCTCTCTCGATCTCTGGCTGCTTTATATTATATATCATCATCTCCCGGTTCCTTGTACCTCCCCGACGGATCGAAACCATGAATCCCGAGTAGTAAGTTCCTTTCTCCATCGGGTGTCGCATCCTTCAGCTTAATCCCATCGCTTATTTTGTATAAATATATGATTCTCTTGCGATATAGATTCCACGATTACGTGCTGAAACCTAGGGTTTGGAGATCTTTCTGTTTGATCTCAATGGTTGAATATTTGTCTCTATTTCTCGTTTCTGATCTCTTATTTAGTGTCTCTGTTTCACTTTCCGTTTTGGGATTTGCAGCGACTATCTTTTCAAGCTCCTGCTTATCGGGGATTCCGGCGTTGGCAAGTCTTGTCTACTTTTGAGATTTTCTGTAAGTTTTTTTCTCCTTTCCTCAGAGATCAAACGCTGTAGCTTCTACGTTTCCTCATGTTTGTTGTTCTGCTGCAGGATGATTCTTATGTAGAAAGCTACATTAGCACTATTGGAGTCGATTTCGTAAGTTGTTTCATTTTTCTTTCGTTCTTGTGGCTTATCCCGAGGCTTTAATCTATCCCTCTTTCTTCTCTTTATCTCTTCTCCAGAAAATCCGGACCGTGGAGCAAGATGGGAAGACGATTAAGCTCCAAATCGTATGTATCTCTTTTTCTACTGAGCGTGTCTTTTGTGCTAAATCTGACATTGAACATATCTCCTGATCTCTCACCGTCCAAGTTTGCTCTTCTTGCTTCTCATTAACTACTCTCACTGGTGACCATGTACTTTCCCCCCTTCACTATCTTTCAGTGGGACACTGCTGGTCAAGAGCGGTTCAGGACTATTACTAGCAGTTACTACCGTGGTGCTCATGGAATCATTGTAAGCTACTTACTTTGATTCTCTTTGTTGCATCAACTCTTTTACAAATTCTACTAACTTAGTTCTGTGGTGGCTTCAACATCAACTCTTTTAGAAATCGTACTAACTTAGTCTGTGGTAGATTGTCTACGACGTCACAGATCAAGAAAGCTTCAATAACGTGAAGCAATGGTTGAGTGAAATTGATCGTTATGCTAGTGACAATGTCAACAAAATCCTTGTTGGAAACAAGTCTGATCTTGCTGAAAACAGAGCCGTTCCATATGAAACGGCCAAGGTATACGCACTTGTACTCATATCTGTTTTTACTAATCAAGTTTTGAAGTCATCAAACTTTAAGGCTATAATTGGTTTCTTGATGAAATTTGAAACATTTGTAGGCATTTGCTGATGAAATTGGAGTTCCTTTCATGGAGACTAGTGCAAAAGATGCTACAAACGTGGAACAGGCTTTCATGGCAATGTCTGCATCCATCAAAGAGAGGTATTTATCTTTCATTATTTATATAAATAAATGGCAGCTAATGCTCATAAGATTTGTCATCTCATTTTTTGTAAGTGTTTATATAGATCTCAGCAATGATCACTGCATGCTTGTTGAGTAAAAGTGACTCCGTTGCTAAAACAAATGCAGCGGAAAGGGAAAACGTTGAAAATTTTCACTGATGTTGACCATGCAGTGGTTCAAATTGAAATTTCAAGTAGAAACTTTTCATGTAGCTAATCAGATTACGAAGTGAATGTGTCATACGAGTGAAATTGATTTGTGGTTTGGATGCAGAATGGCAAGCCAACCATCTGGGAACAACGCAAGACCGCCAACAGTGCAGATTAGAGGTCAGCCTGTGGCCCAGAAGAACGGCTGTTGCTCAACTTGATAAAATTGACACCAGCCTAGCAAGATCCTTTCCAATCTTACTCCATACCATCCTTCTAGAAAAGTGTTCCTTCCTTTGACTAGACTCAAATTCACTTGTACTTGGTTATTACACAAGACACCCTCAAATGTGTCTGTCTGTAATTAAGATCCTTCGGTTATTATTCTGCTTTATCCGTTTCCTATTTTCTGTACCTCATCGTTGGCACTAACTCTGTCCACCATTATGGTTTTATCATTGCTGCCGTTTGGGGTTTTCTGTTGTAGTTCTCTAATTTCCTAATAACAAATGCAATCATCAATGAAAACAAAGATATTGTCATACGAAATTGAATATCAACAATTTTTCTTGTTTTTTTTTGCGTGGGAGAACCCTATAGAGACAAACAGTGGAGTGAGTCACTGGTGTGAACTCGACCTTAGGTAGAAGTTTAATTCCTAATGTATTCTCCAACGGTTTACTAAAGAATTCGATCTTTGGTTGAGGTTTGATTCCAAAGCCAAAGGTAATCTCGATGGTTACGAACGCTTAGATGTTCCAAGCTTTGATCATCCAATGTTAGAAGCTGTAAATTTGATAGATGCTTACTACTTTTAGGAAAGGTTCAGTTCGATGACAAAAAAAAAAAAAAAAAAAAAAAAAAAAAAAAAAAAAAAAAAGGAAAGGTTCAGTTCTTGAAAGTGGAAATAGAGAGGATGTTGAGAGTTAGCTGGATTACGTTTTAACATATCTGAAATTGAGTGTGCCTAAAACCTAAGTTTGAGACATGAGTAAAATTTTCCAGGGCTGTTGGTAAAATACCCTTAGGAAGGATTTTCATGGTGTGTTAACTCCGGCCTTCATAGCAAGGAACACAGAGGAATGAGATGAGAAGGCTTTCTTTGCCTGTATGATGCAGAGTTTATATGTTCGATCCGAATGCAATAATATGAATACAGTTGATTAAATTCATTTCAATAAACAAAGTCTCTGCTCATATTCATTTGAGTAGTTATGAAACTTAGCAAAGTAACATCCGAAAATACATAGATACATACATACATACATGCATATTCATCCGCATTGCACAGAGAGTAGGGCGAAACAAATCTAATGTTGGTTGCGACGGACAATGCGTTCCAAATGGTGGAACTGAGCCTTCAAGGCAGCATGGTCTTGTCGCATCCTTTGCAAGCGATCCTCTACCATCATAATCTCTTCCCTCAAAAAATGCATTCGCTTCTCCAGCCACCCCAAACTCTCCTCATTTCCACTGTATTCGTTGTACCTCTCATGGTACTCTACTTGCCCCCCTCCTCCTTTCTTCAGCAGCACCACTATTGTCACCTGTCCACACTTCCACCTATTAGTTTCCCTCACTCAATCTCTCTCTTTCACCACCAATTTATCCAAAAACACATACCTGCATCAGTAAGATCACTGCAAACGCTATTACTATAACCTGCCTTGTCCCGCTTTGCCTCTTCACAAACGATGTCAGATTCACCCACGCTCCCCTTAAGCTTTGTTTCACTATCCCTCCTCCCACCATTTCCACCTTCCTCTCCTCTTCACATTCAGATACTGTTTCTTCCCTTGCTGCTAGCGGTACACCATCCTCAATCAACTTATCCCCTGTAGAAAAAGGTGTCAGCAAGCTATCTTATCGGAAAAAGCTTCTGTTAATCATCAGTCTACAACACGAACCTTCTTGGTTCTCCAGCTTCTTCTGCTTCAATAGTTCATGTGCCTCCAAGGATAATAAAAAAAAGAAGGATAAATAAACTTGTTTAAATTCCTGCATAAACTGAAACAGAAAATGTTGACCCAATGGCCGCTGACAAAGTACCATTCTTATCCAATGTGCATAAGCTTCTCTACACTCTTCCAAAGTAGACTGCACTATTTTTCCTGCAAAAACTCATAGATGTCAAGCCAGATTTCAGAACCCTATAAGAAACTTGATTTCAAAAGCCAAGGACAAAAGAAGAGTAAATTAAGCTTTTTTTTTTTTTTCTCGAAGCACAAATGAAGAGTATATTAAGCCAAACAAACCTTTCCACACGGTTCTTTTAGAGAAGGCTACATTGAGAAAAACATCCAATATACAACCTTCGATTGAGTCTCTGCAATCTCTTTTCACATCCCAAACCCCCTAGAATCAGCCAGCCAAAGGTAACTATTAACACATATAACACACGTCACCTATCAAACTACTGATAGCATTCGGGGTAAATTTCCTCCTACCTCTACAGTAAAATAATCTGCGTAAGGCACATCGCTGATCTCCTGTGATGTTTCAATAACCAGATGGCTGGCAAAAAAAATTACAATATCAGACAACATACAATAAGCATCAATGAAGCAAACTTACTTAGCTTTGACGATCTAGAATAAAACAGGAAAACAATCGAATACGCAATTTCTATACCTATCTCTGTACATCCGAAATTTTTGGGACTCCTGGCAACCACCGAATTTTGCACCTTCGAACGAACCCCGACAGTCATGCATACACATATTTGATATTGACCATAGCCTAGTACTGTATATAGGAAAGAAAAATATTACCAAAATAAACTTTTATCGGATGTTGAAATGAGACATTGCGGGTGTGTCCGAGCTTCTCATCAGGTTGCCAAGAGGTACACCTAAACTCTGCAAGTACATCTTCCCTGGATAAATAACACCCACAGAGAAAGAACATACAAAAAAAAAACAGCAATGAGCGATCTAAAGAACTCTACCTTTGTCCCCACAATTTTTATGGAAAGATTCAACAAAACTGACGGCACCATCTGAAAAAAACAATCTAAAGAACTCTTCTACTGGAATCTGCAAACATAAAGTAAAGTCTATTTAGGTATACGAACTTCTGCATTCAGTTAATGCTTATATTCTCGTACATTTTGATTGGGTGGTTCCATAATTTCATCTATCTCATTAGACAAAGAAAGTGACATTACCGAAAACTTTGCCTCTGCTACCTTGGTAAAATCCGATGATACTGCAAGGAAGAAACACAAAATTTGGGTGGGAATTCTAATGAGAACATGAAAAGAGATCACATTAACCCCAAAAATAGAAAGAATCAGAGATCATGTATGCATAAACGAAATAACCGGTTCAGCAGGATATACGGTCTCCATACTGAGTACAAGCTGTTGAGACAGATTGAGTACTAGTGAAGTACCATAAAGAGGCTAGAAAATAAATCTTAGTTACCACACTCCAATAGACCTTATATAGTAAAATCATATGAGACACTTCCCCATTTGAATTCAAACAAAGTCAGTTTATGTTCCAAAACAGCAAGCTAAAAGATAGACACATAATGACATACACTAAGAAAAAGCAAACAAAGTGAGTTTACTAGCATTCACACCCTGAAACAGTTGACTAGAAATAATAATCTGCCACATTACCAAGACCACTAAAAAAGAACTAAGATGAAAACGAGGAAGGAATTTAACTACATTTAGGTGCGTTTATAGCTTCAGGCTTCCAGTTAACAGTATTGGCTGAAGAAGAAGCCATAATATCTTCAACTGTTTCTGCAGGCCGCTGAACGGGAGAAGGTGAAACGCCATTCTGACTAATGACAGGAAGACTGGAACTGCCTGAAAGATGAAGATTTTCATCCCTGTGAAGGAAAGACAGTAAGTGGTGAAACAGGAAGTTACAGAAACCAGGTACACCATATGGAAGGGGTCAAGTTACCTCAATGGGATATCTAGTTCATTCGCCAAATCCATGGAACTGAGTGCCCTTTTAACAACTCCATCATTAACCTGGTTTTTGGACTCAGACAAAGAATCCTGAAATGGATAAGCTAAGAAAGATGAGCAGAAAGAAAAAGTAAAGAAGCCTTGAGGAGTAAAGAGCATAGTGTTTTCCAGCTGCTGTTCAGTCACCTGACTATCTCCCTCTGCTTTGACAGCACTACCATATTCCAACCATCCATCATGGATAAGCTTGAAAGCTTCATCACGGGAAAGAAACGATGCAAAAAAGTACTGCGAAAGAATGCAGTTCTAAGATCAGGACTGAGGCAACAAACAAAAAAGATTTCAGAAAATGAAACAACAGCCAGAGAGAACTTGTGGTACCTTCTTCCCTCCAGCCAAAATCTCAATGGCATTTGGAAAAATACCAGCAGTTTTTGCTCGTTTAACGCAAGATATCTCCGAAAATGGAATAACTTTCTGCAACAAGAGTACAGATCAATATCGAATAGGAGAAGAGAAATAGTGAAAAAGGAGAGAGCAAGGGATATAGCTATGGTACCTTGGTCTCATAACCAAAGATGTTTGAGTAAAAGCAGATATAATGGATGAAGAGGTACATATGACCCTGGAGATAAGAAAGAGAAGCCAAAAAGTGAAGAAAAGAAAGATTCAAGAAAGGCAAAGAGATAAGTACCTGCTGACAGACATAAACAACGTAGTAGAGTACCTGCAGAAGAATACTCTCTTGACAAGCACAGTTGAAATCTTGAACAAGGACCTACACACAAAATATATTTGACTGGAAGAAGGAAGAGGAATCGAAGCCATGAATTTTTGACAAGCAGAGAGGGAATACTTACTTCCTCAGCTGGAAGACGAAATAATTGCCGATACTCTTCACTTTTCGATATGACTTCAGACTAGAACAGGTAAGAAATCCAAGATCAAAGTTCACTTTAGATCTTAAAAAAGAAGAATTCATCTCTTACCTGATTGTCACCACCACGACTGGGGCTCGGGGAGGAAGTGGAAGGATCATGGCGATCAGGTGAGCCGCTAGTGCGCGATCCCTCGGGGGACGTTGGTGTTGGATCGGATTCCACCACCGGAGACGCAGATGAGTCAATCTTCATGGGTCTGGGCAGGTCGACGCTCCCCGAAACGGAAGCAGTAGAAAGCATCGCCATAAAAGAGAGAGAGAGAGAGAGAAAGTGTTGGTTAGAAGGAAGGCTGTGTGAGAGCTTTGGCGGTCGTTGGGTGCGCCGTACGATGTCAACGTCAACGGCCATTAAGTCCAAAACGATCGGCCTATCTGGGCTTATTGTTTAGGCCCATGTCTTACCCATTTGGTGGCCCATATGTATTAATGGAAAAGATTCCAGTTCTTTTGTTCACCTCATATATTATGGTGATGATAAATAGCCCTAACGATGATTATAAAATTCTTGATGGTCAAATAGATTAATCATCAATCCTCAAACAAATTTAAAGGTTAACGCAAAAGAGAACCAGTGGTAAATTTACATGATACTTCTTGCACCTCATCATCAGTCATTCAGTTGTTGATGGAGTAGGAACTCGAACAGACAGTCTGGAGACATTCAGTGAAGAGAGATGAGAAGCTGGTCAAGGCTTGGAAGACATTGGGCAGGCCGGTTTGAAGATTGTTGAGAGTCATTGCCCGTGTCACCTCCACAGCCTTCACGTGCCTCATCACCTCTTCTTCCACCTGCCTCTGACACGCCGCCAGCTCACATTTCTTCTCAGACAGCGGATCCCGAGCGTCCAATACCTCCGGTCCAGGGCCTATCCCAACCGTCGAGTAAGCCTGGTAGTATTTCCTCTCTATGCTCCTAAGTGAGGATGCCTTCTTCTCCAGCTCCTTTCCTGCACTCTCCGTGCGTTTCTTCATCTTCACCTCTTCCGCCTGCTTTATTGATATGACATGGACCACGTTTACAAAGCTCTTTATGGCTTCTGACGCCACCGTATCAGGCACCCGTTCCAGGCTCTGCTTCCACTCCTCGCACAAGGCAAATGAGTCTGGCCTCTGTTTCTTTGGGTCTTCGTTGCTCAAGGAAACAAGGCTGAGCTTGAACCAGGCGTGGAGAGAGCAGATGAACTCTCTCTGGAATTTGATGATGCGACAGAAGCTCGAATGCCACAAGGAGACGGCTGATTCTAAGTCCCTTGTCACCTGCCGATGTACCTCTGATGTTGACTCACCTTTCTCTGTTTGGTTGATCAGGCCACGGACTTGTTGCACTATGTTGCTCTGGATTTCGTGGTACTCGTGCATTGACTTCCACATGTACATTAATCTGCATTTCAAGCGATACATGGTATTTAAAGCCGTTTAATTTTGAGTTCACATGAGTTTTCAGAAGCATAAAAATAAGCCTGGACCAAGGCTGCGTGGCCTTCTCATCACATAAGTCGGCCTAATTTGCATCTGACTCTTCTCTGCCATTGGCTTTTGATACTTTTACGAACAGGACCATCACTCAAGGAACCACGAAAAACAAAACCAACTTCAAAGAGAACCAAAAAGACTGACCCGTGGCAGAGTTCAACAAGCTGAGGCACAAGGTCAGTGTCCCGGAGGCGAAGAATGGCACTAGACGTGGTTAAAACAGCTTCTGAAGTGACAATGATGAGGGATTGCAATCTGGTTATGGAAGTTTTAGTCTTGTTTAGCTTGGATTCATCGCCTCCTTTGTACTCCTGACTCTGTAGCGCAGACAACTTCTTCTCGTGCTCGATCTTAACTCCTTCCCTTGCCTAATTAATTTTGCATCCACAAGTTGATTTATTAGAAGTTGCTGTTGGTAAACATAAAAAAACAGGAAATATACCTTGACATCCTCATAAAGCTTCTTCTCCCAAGCGAGGAGTCGGTCTAGAGTAGAGCAGAGGCTCTTGAAGCCGCCTTGTTCATCTTTCAGAGTAGATGCATCGAGCTTGTATTTGACAGCCAAAGGGGGTTTTGAGGTCCAGCTTGCGCTTAAGTTGCTGAACACACTGCTTGAATGATACACCGTCTCTGCAGACAAAGCCACAGAGCGAGAGAATGAGATGGTTTCCCTGCAGCAACTAGTTATGTTAGTAGAGTGTGGGAAGTAGACTTACTCCTCAGCTTGCTGAAGCTGCGGTCGAGCTCAGCCCGGCCGATCTCAAGCATGGCGGAAACCTGATCACCAGCGGAGGCAGCCTTTTCGAAGTAGTCTTGAACGGCGTCAAGGATCTCCTTCAAGTTCTTGTGCCTTACCACCATTTTGGTCTGGTAGCAGTGGGAAGAAGTGGTAACGTGGTCAGAGTTGCACCTCGTATCTTTGCCATTTGGGTCTCGCTGCTGTTTCTCCGGCTCTTCAATACCGGATCTTGGAACATGCGTTTCGGGCACCACATCTCCGTCAGACGAAGAGGTGGCAGAGCAACGGTCGTGGTCGTCTCCCCACTCGCTGCAGTGAACTTCTTCGGCGGCATCTCTCAGGGTGTGGTCGGAAATCTCAGTTTCGGCGTCGTAATCGGAAGGAAGACGGTGGCTAGCTTTGCGTTCGAAGAACTCGGAGTCGGGGGGAGAGGGAGGGTAAAAATTCTCCCAGTTCCAGACGGAGGAGGCTTGAGAAGGAGAGCGAGAGTAGGTAGAGTTCTGGTGAGCAGTGGGATAGAAAGACCTACAAGTAGTGGCAGGAGAGGCAGACGGAGAGGAGTCGGAGAGAATGTGGGGGAGCCTCGTCCTCCTTTGCCTATTGTGCTTGCTGCGGATGGGCGGAGCAGGCTTTGGGGATGGGGAAGGAGGGGCACGTGGCGCGTCGTGGCTGGAGGAAGGGCGGAGAAAAACAGCGGGGGTGTTCTCGGAGACGGTGAGGGGTTCGCCGGATGCGAAGGAGGAGAGGGCTGAGCCGGTGAGACGAAGAGAGCGACAGTAGTCAGAGTGAGCGGCGGCGAGACTATGACGAGCGTAGACGACGTCCTTCATAAGACGGCGTCGCTCCTTGCAGCGACGGACAGCGTCTTCACTGTCGAGCTTGGAGGCCGTGCATCCCATCGCCAACAACGCTCTCAGTGTCTTTTCTCTCTCTCTCTGTCTTTTTTTCAAATACTTTTTTTTTTTTCTTGTCTTTCTTTCATAAAGATTAATTTTCAGTACCACTGAAAGAAATTAAAAAAAAAAACAATAGAAAGACAAAATATATTTTTAATCGTAATGAACGTATCAAACTGGTGCATATGATTGTCCTGGTTTAGTAGGGAGCATAGTGAATTACAACCAAACAAGCAAGATGGGGGCCCGGCCCACATATCTCCAAGGGTGAGAGTGCGAACATGGGCCTTATAAATTCCACGTGTGCATCAAATAGCAGCATTTCTTATTTCAAATAATGCAAGACAAGTTCGTGTCTCCCTTTGTTTATCTGCTCAACACGACACCCGAAGAAAGGCCTCTTCTAGGACAACATTGTGCAATCAAATCACATTCCGTCTATATCAACCCAACCCATCATCACTCCTATCAAATTTGGCAAAGCTCACAATCAGATTCTACCCACCACCACGGGTTTTCCACCAACTGATCAAATAGGTTTAAACTAATGTACCAGTTGCAGGGGATCCAATGCCATACAAAACCCTCCTCCTTTTTCAAGGTGAGGATGCTGATGAGATGCTCATGCTTTCACAGCCCCCTTCTCTTGTGAAACCCAAGCCTCCAAATATTCCCTGCATTTTTATCATTCCAGAAAGCTCTTTTTCAACCTCATCATATTTTCTTACTGTCTTCCGAAACTAAAATGCACAATGAGTTGTAGATACTTGAGCATGCCTTATGTACGTACCATTGCGTCATTGACAGCATGTGCGACGCAGTAATGTTCCTGTTCAAAGCTATAAACGGTTATATCCTGCTTTACTGGCTTACCCACAAACACAATCAACTAATCTGACGCATGCATCATGAAAATATATAATGGAGACTGTTTGTATTCAACACCAATCATCTTTGTTCTTTTTTACTTTCCACATACACACAGGTGCAAAATCAAGTTAATAAAAGCTGGAGACAGACTTGCCTGCATCATGTGCCACTCTTCAAATTCATCAAACAACTCCAATCGTTCAATCCTAGAAACACGACATGCTCATTTAAGTTAGATACCAAGAGCAGTAGGCTTTCTAATGGAAGATAATAAAATTGAAAAAACAAGGAAGAGAGAGAGCTCCAAAGTCGGCAAAAGAATTCAGATTAGAGACTAGGTATGAATAACATAACGCTGTTACAAAATTTTACTGACAAGTAAAGCACTGACCTGCGTTTATCTTGAGTATCAATAAAACTACCATACACTTTTAGCATGTCCCAGGCAACAGCTCTCTGATATACCAAAACAAATAAGAGAGTAAAAAATTATGAAAGGCCATATACTTAAAAGTTAGCCCTGCTTTCATCAGACATTCACCTTGTTTTAGCTACAACTAGCCATCAAGACCAAAACAAAAGACTGAAAACTGCATGTTGGCACTCAAACCAGAAATTGTTTGAATTTCAATATAATGTCAGAGTGATAACTTATTCTCACATCATAAACGAGAGAAGTATACAAGATATTGACTGTGACTTAGCAAAGAATTTTAACAAGCATGCTTTTTGTTAGATGACGTTGCATTCAAATTCTGCCATATTTGCACTCAAACTATTTGGCAATGCAAGATTTGGGGCAAAAATAATACATATCAGATTGTAAGAAATTATCATGATATTCTAACTGCAAAACACACCTGCCATCCGTTGTCAAGAAACAACCTCTCCTTTGCAAGTAAAGTTGGTGATGCATCAATGCTTAAGAGTGCACACCCCCGACTCTGAAGCACATAACACCGCAAAGCTTTCAGAAGCAATTAATCAGTTTAACAGTTATTCCGGTGGCAGTATCATAATATTTTACTAGACTCCATAGTTTGGCAGAAACATCAACAAGTTAAGCTTTACTTATGAAGATGTTGCGGCAACTAGAGTACACACTCTTACCTCCAAATTTCTAATCATTTGATGTCCAAATGCATCATCTGGATGGATCTGTAAACAGAAACCCAACAAGTTAGAAAAATCAGCAGTAAGATTTGTATCTGCAATATCATGCAGCAAAGAAAATAACAATATGCCGGAAAACCTGCTCATATAAGAAAAATACTGCAGTTGAAAACGTTTTTGATGCCCAATTGACGATGGCACGGCTTGAATCAGGGTCCAGATATATCAAAACACATTCTGCAATAATAAATGTCGGCAGACTGATAATGGTGTTAGGGATCAAGTAAGTTTATCATTAGTCAGCATATGTATATATCTTGGACGAGGGTAAAAGAAAAGGGCTGAGGGTTCAAGAAATATGTAATAACAGCGTGTAAAATATCAAAAAAATATGCATACCTTGGATCCATATCTGCAAAGGATATAACATCTCTTAATTTTGGTATATCACGTAGGTCAACTGGAAGTAACTTGTAATGATCACTGAGCACTTGGCCTTCCTCTGAAAAGTTAAAGAGAAAAAGATAGCTAGCATAAGGCACTAAAGCTACAAGCCAACAGTAAAGAACATGACTGGACTGCACTAGCTGAAATGCATCATTTGACATTTAAGATAAGAAAAAGAAAAAAAAGGGCTCTTACCAATAGAAATAGATGCATTGGCTCCAAGTTTGTCCCTCAGTTGGCTAGAGTTGTCTATAACAGCAGCCTTCTTACTTGTTACCTAATGTAAGAACCAAATCCACTTGGCATTAGAGTAAATATACCTGATGAATACTCTGTTGAGCACTCATCCAGTAAAATCAAAGCAGGTACAAATGAAGTCCATTGAAGAATACCTCCTTAAAATCCAGCTCCACATACAAAATGGGCCCTTTCCCTTCATCCTACAAAATGCATAAAATGAGAACAGAAGAACGCAGATCCCTATAGTAAAGAGGGGTAGAAATAAATAGGACGAATGGAGAATTTGGTAAGCTAGACCGACCTATCAAAACGAAAAGGAAAAAAGACAAACCAGCAACTGAAAATACGTAGTGTCAAAGCCAGCTCCGAGTGACAGTATCTGTTTCTTTGCTGGAGCAGTTTCATTAGTACTTTCTAGAAACTGAGACAGAAACTTTCGGAAGGCAGCCCAACGGGAAAAGTAACCTAGGAAACACAAAAAGAACAAAGAAAAGCCAGCAGTGTGAGTGAGGCAAACAACAAACCCACCTATATCAATGGCAATGGCGGAGGAGATAAGAGTAACCTCGATTAATGATGGGAGATCTTCGAACAGGCCTTTTCACAAAGAGATGAACATAGTCGTCTTTCATATATCCCTTTTTGACACAAGACCTTGGCAAAAAAAAAAGAAGCAAACCAGCAACTAATGTTATACAAAAAAAAAACATATGCTCAAAGATCCATAACAACCAAGCATAGAAGAAGAAACTAAAAACAACACAGAGTGAAACAAGGATACAAAAGAATGAGCCCTAATTTTGGCGAAAACAAAAGAAAAGGAAAATATACTGGCTGAGAGAAAGAGGTAGCGTACAATTTACTGGCGGATGCATCGTCGTTAGTAGCCTGAACGGCCGCTCGGTTGCTGCGAGATTCTGCCATATCTTTCGAACGCAAAGGAAAACGAAGAGCTCCTCCTCCTCCTCGAGAGAGAGATTCTGCTGCAAATGCAAATGCAGGTAAACCCTCTGACTCGCAAGGAGGGCTTATTTGGGCTTCACAAAAAGCGGTTGAGAATAGGCCTTAGCCCAACAAGTACGTTGAGAAAATAGGAAAATAAAATAAGGAAAAAGATCTAGAAAAAATTAGGATAGAGGACGTCGCCACATGTATAAAGAGAGAGAGAGAGAGAAGAGGAAATAGTAGAGAGAATTCGGATTCCTTGCTCGCTGCCCTAAAACCACCGCGAAACCGATTCGAGAAGAAGAAGAAGAAGATGGACATCGAGCAGAAGCAGGCAGAGATCATTGATCAGCTCGTTACCCGAGCTTCTACTTGCATAGGCGACGCTCTGTGTCCTATCATCATCGAAGCTACATCGCATCCTTCTCTTTTCGCCTTCTCCGAGATTTTGGCTCTACCTAATGTGGCCGAGGTACGTTACTGCTTCAATTTCTCTGTTCTGATGGACCAATTTTTCCGTACCTAACTCGTCGACCTAGGGTTTCTCCTCCATTAGGGTTTGTTTGACCAATTATAACGCTTATGTGCATTGGAATTTGTGTTCAATTTTTGGCTAAACTCTTGCTGATAAATTACTTATTAGGAGTCTGTGTTTGTTTTCTTCAAATCTTTGGTAATCTCTTGCTGATCTGAAATTACTTACTAGGAATTTGTGTTTGTTCTCTTTAATTCTTTGCTAATCTCTTTCTGATCAGAAATTACTGTTTGTTCCCTTCAATTCTTTACTAATCTCTTGCTGATCAGAAATTACTTGTAAGGTTCTTCATATTTGGTGCCTTAAGCTGTTTACAATAATGCATTTCAGCTTCAAGGAACCACAAATTCTGTCTACCTGGATTTACTACGCCTGTTTGCCCATGGCACCTGGGGTGACTACAAATGTACGATTCCTTCCATCCGTTAATATATATCTCTTTTCTTTTTATTACCTTTTCACACCCTCTTCTTAATTGATTTCATCTGCACTCTAGGCAATGCTACCCGTATTCCTCAGTTGACTCCTGACCAAATTCTTAAGCTAAAGCAGCTCACTGTGCTTACCCTTGCTGAGTCTAACAAGGTACTGCCTTATGATACGCTAATGGTCGAGTTAGATGTTACTAATGTTCGTGAACTTGAAGACTTTCTTATCAATGAATGCATGTATGCGGTGAGTTTTCTTCGTTTTTTTCTTTCCAAGTCACCCGCATGTTTTCACTGATAACTAACTGTGACATTGTATGGTGCTGATTTTTTTAATTATTTCCCAGGGTATAGTTAGAGGAAAACTGGATCAATTGAAAAGATGCTTTGAGGTGTGTTTTCTGTCTCATTTTCGTATATACCCACTGTGCTTTGTTTTTATATTTGTAAGCACATCTTTGATTGTCATTTATCTTGGAAACATGCAGGTTCCCTTTGCGGCTGGTAGGGATCTAAGGCCAGGACAACTAGTGAATATGTTACACACATTGTCAAACTGGTAATTTTCTTCTTCCAACAGATCCCAAGAATTTTCTACCTTCTATTTCTGATTAAAATAACTTCTACGTGGTGTTTGAATATATTGCTAATGATTTACCTTCACGACCTACGCTTGAGTTCTATGTAAAAAGTCTTTTTCCATGAAAGAGTTTATGCCTTACTTTTTTGAGTCTGTTGGCGCAAATTGATGTGTAGGATGAACACGTCAGAGAATCTGCTTGTTTCAATTCAAGACAAGATCAAATGGGCGGACAATATGAGTGAGATGGATAAGAAACATCGTAAGGAAGTAGAAGAAGGGGTGGAAGAAGTGAAGAAGTCTCTGTCCATGAAGGTCAGTGATATATATGATCAGTTTTGGAGGCCTAAGGAGTTTACTATTCCCTATTAATTATTTTGTGTAACTAATAATTGTTACATGTCTGATTACTTTCCTGTAACCATGAGAGTCCAGTTAACTTTTCTGTCTTATATCTTCCGAGATATATGGTGGGTTTATTAATAGTTTAGGTCTATGTAAATGTGATGGGGATAAACTTCATTAAATCCAAGGTGTTTGAGCTTTGAAAGTCCAGTACAATCTTCGATTAAAAATTTATGTTTCCATATATTTAGTGAGTCCGTTAGTCAGCTGTGGCATCTCTTTTTACCATTCTTTCTGTGACAAGAAACCCTAACATGCTGGATGTAATTATATAAAAAAACAAAAATACAAAGAAAACAATCACGAAACAAGTGTTTTGAATGCATTACTTGGTTGTTATTTGATTGATGTTTCTGGATTGTGATTGGGAAGGGTGATGGTCGATGTAGTCTTACTTACGTTATGGGCAGGGGGATGTTGACATCAGAGGAAATAAAGAGATGTTTGGGGAACCAAGTGGAATGATGGACTATGAAGAAGATGGAATCCGACCAAAGAGGTATGAACCATTAGATATGATCCATTATGATACCAAGCATGTTCAAGTATGAGATGCTAACATACAAGTAGAAAAGAGATATGATACATAACACACACGCATCTTTGGAACGTAGGAGGCGGCATCCGGTAAGGTAGAGGAGCGAGAGAGCAAATGGGCTGTGTGGATTGACATTCCATTTACCGAGAGTAGATTATGCGGATTTTTCAACTTGTTTAAATCATGTGTTCTCTCTCGACACAACCCCTTGTTTTGTCTAGATTTCCCTTTCATATTATGTCATAAATTTGGTGTTTCTTCACCCAAGGATTTTTACAAAAAAGAATTTTAAAGTCTTTTAATTAAGAGATGTTCAGTAATCAAAACATTGTGAATTTGTGACCGAGTCAAGTAAGGGAAGGAGAAGTCTAGCTGACAGATTTATAATGAACAGTGTCGTATTCTTCTGATATCCGCATGACTTTAAAGTTGTACCTTCTGATTACTCCAGGAGGTCTTGATATCAAGTGTCTCATCACCCTTGAGATGCTAGCGAATCGAATCCAGAGAGAAGCTGAGGGTGTATGTATACATATAGAGAGATTGAGGGAGCCCCAATTGCTTGGAATTATTGAAACAAATCAACGTAGTGAACCAAGTTTGCTGCCACGAGCACATCATCTACATATGAAATGGTTTATTCTTTTTCGGCAAAGTTTATTTATAGCTTCAGTTTTCCACTAAATGCTAATAACCTAAGAGAATTTTATCTCAGCCCACTTCCTTCTCCTATTTTTTCAAGTTACGTTGCCCCAAGCCTTGGTGGATGGATACTTGATAGCTGGCCTCAGAAGCAGAAGTCTTGGTACGTTTTGAGTAAAAAAGGAGGAGTCATCTTAACACAATTTGCCATTGTAAATGAAAATCAGTGTTCTGTACAATGGATACAAGTACATTTGCCTCAAGATGAGCATCACCTCTCTACTTCTCACTTGCCACCAGTGTCTGAAGCTTAACAGACTTTGATGTTGACACCAAGACTTTGCAACTGATCAACAAGGACTTGTCTCCTTGGTGATTTAAGCCATAAGCATGAGATCCTAGCAAATGCAGCTTGGCTTGCATATTGGACCTTGCAAGCTAAACTCAGCTCTGGTAGCACATCCACGCATGAAGCATCCCTGCCTATGATTTGAGGCTCATCATACCCAGTCAGATCGGACTGAGTTACCACCACCACTGACCCATCATCAAAAGCTGAGAACAACTGTTTCTCAGCCGCAATTGCTAAGCTTGTTTGCTTCACAATCATGTTATTTTCTTTTGCGTTCCTTCCAATTCTGGAACCGTAGAACTCCTTCACAGCCTGCCGTTCAAAAAAATATGCTTTTAGCAACTTAGAAACAAAGCAAGACTAATTTCTAAGCATGTCAAAGAGCTCTAGGTGTGGGAATTGAAAGCGCACCTTCCACTGAGCAGTACCAAGTAAGACCCGCGGCCTGATGGACCGAATGTACTCATAAGCACGCTCAGGTGTCATTTCCCTGTATTTCACCTGTCGGGTAAAAGCGTAAAAGTAAGAAAATATAACCTTTATAAAAGCAAACTAGTATAAGAAAATGGCTGAGAATGAGATGGGCAACCAGGTAACAGAGAACAATGGTGGTACTGCGTCCCCGGCCAGCCTTGCAGTGAACATAAGTAGTCTTGCCACTTGACGCAGTCTCTTCCCAAAATAATAGGAGGGGAAAATGAGTGATAATGCAAGACAAGTTGGAATGTTTAAGCCAGAGAATTGAAGATAATGAAACTTACCGTGAATAAAATCAACAGCTCGGCAAATATCAGCGATTGATGGAGCAAAGAGATAATCTCTCGTAGGAATCACTAGATGCTTGATACCGTGAGCCTACAAGGTTTCAGGATACAGAAGAAATGAAAAGCAGAAAGGCATGATAACGATGATGAGAAGCTCTGAATGGAGGAGCTTACATGATAGAGAGATGAGGGAACCAAAGTCTCAAAAGGCTCGTTGAGGGTAACCACGCCATAAACACCAAGTTCCTTGAGAAGTGGAACATGAGTGGGGAAAGGCACAGCACCAAGCAAAACGTACTGATAACACAGAGCATAGGTGTATGTGTTAGCCCACAAGGCAGAAACGCAAAACAGTTGAAAGCAATGTGGTTTTTTTACCTCATCGACTAGATCCCACCATCGGAATTCTGACTGAACCATGTTCCTGAGAACGTTGTATATCAAGGTTGGGTAGAAGAGTGCGCGACCGCCAGCTCCAACAAGAGCACGTTTTGCATTCCAAACACCCAAATCACTACTTGTACATGACACAATCCCTATTGAATCGTTTTGGCTAATAATACTCTCGTCGCCTCCCTCCTTCAGTTCTTCGATGTACATGTTTCCCCCAAACGAACACGCCCGATTTCCTTCAAGATCAAAGAAACCCTAGTGTATACAATCCTCAGGAAAACAATTAGACACCAATTCCATTCAACTCCGTAAAGACCAAAACTTTGGACTTTGCAGGAAATCTACCTGGGTTCTATATGATCTTCCTCTTTCCCCATTCAGTCAGTAAAGGAAATTTTCTCTCTTCTTCCAAGTTGCAATCTTTCGTTTTCTCAACAGACCCACCCAGATGGAACCTTTTTTTTTTTTTAAGCTAATCTCCAATTATTTTCATTTTCCTCGTCTAGTCTTTTTGTTTTAAGCTTTGCAAAAAGTCTAAATTTTTTTAAGGCAATTCTCAAATATAACACTAATTTTTTTTTTTTCAAACATAACACACATTCTCCTATTTTCCAAAATTATCTCCATTTTCAAAATTTAAAGATTAAAATTAAATTTTAAACTCTATACAATAAACTCTAACACCTAAAAACTACATCATAAATGTAAAATAATCAACTCAAACCTTTAAAAAAAAATCTAAAAAATTATTTAAAATATTATAATTGTGTTTGAAAATTTATAAAGTGTACTATTATTGTCCATAAAAAAAAAATTGGTGTTATTTGAGCGTATTACTTTTTTTATAACATGTATAATATATTAGAGCATCCCCAATGGTGAGACTCTAATTTTGGGTTTCTAAAAAATGAAATAGGAATACTTGTAAATAATTAAATTTAGAATTAAATTTTAACTTAAATCATTTACATCATAACAAGTGTGTTAATGGAAGTACAAAAGAACCAATATTTGCCCATAATGGTGGTCTGAGACTAAAATTTGTATTTCTCTATACTTTTTTCTTTTCAATGAAAATAATTTTCTTTGTATACCTTGTTACACTTAAAATATCCAACAACGTCATCCTCGTAATGATTGGCTATTTGTTACAAATAATTTACACCATAACTGGATGGTATCGTTTGTTTGAAGCTTGAACATGCGTTACATTGTTCTAGTTTCAAAATCCCCCTTAAGAGCAAAGACAGATTAGAAGGCCAGTAATATATATTTTCAAAATAATTAAGAAGCAAGTTTCTAAATCTTTAAAAGAGAGAGAGAGAAAGCCAGACTCCTAAAATCTCTCTATATATTGTTACAACATACAAGTTGAAAGGCAGCGCTAATGAGAATTGTCTGAGACCCAACCCGAGACCATTCCCTCGTCAACAGGCTTGAGGCCACCGCAGGATCTGGCTACAGATTCAAAGAGTTTCTCAATCTCAGGCGCACACCTGATGAAGGCTTGTTTCCAGAAGCCATATCTTGGATTCTTGATCAGCTCAATGAATGTGATTAGCAGGCCCCACGGATGTGGCCGGTTCACAATGAGCCTTTCCAACAGCACTCTTGTTATTTGCTCCTGTATGATCTCCTGTTTTATTCAAGTCAAAATCAGATTACCATGCCCTAAATTTACTTCTCAGCTCTTGACAAGCAAAGCAACCTCACCTGGTCAGATTCGAAGAATAGATAGAGCATGATGAACGAAAAGTAATGAGTGTGGTTGTTGGGATATCGAAGCTGATTGGCAATGGCATTAAGGAACAGATACCGTCCTTCTGTATCAAGTTCCATACTTAAATACTTGAACATCTGTAAGGCGACAACATTTTGAGCCTGTGTCTCACCCGCCTGTAGTTGCTGAATAGCCTGTTACCGCAATGTCGAAAATTTGCACATGCCATTAGTGCATACACATAATTAAACAGACCTTTTTTATTTAAAAAATTAGGCTGTATCTCAGACCCATACCTGCATTCCAGTATATAGCACAAGCGAGTTGATCAATGGTACACTGTAACAGGTTCCAGCTGAACTCGCCTCGCTGGAAGAGAGAAGTAACTTCTGCTTCAATTCGCTTAGGAAAGTTGAATTCTGTTGCCTCGACTGCAGAAAATTATATGAGTCTATCTTTCTTATAGTCTCATGAACCCAACGAATGAACAAGAAAATTGAAGAATCAGGTGTTCCCCTTACCATGAGATACTCATCCACGTCATTCTTCATTTGCTTTGCTTTCAGCGCAGCATCAACTTCGGAAAGGATACAGGGAGCTTCTACAATCTCAGGTAACAAATCAATCTGCAATGACCACGATAAATCAGCCTACAAGAATATATTTTCTGTAGAATATGAACCTACTGGGCCCTCCACTATCATTTCGAACCTTTAAGTTTGGGGTAGAAGGATCTGGAAGCCTCATGTTCCGTGGAAAAGAACTAAGAATAATATTTCGCATCTGTATGCAACTTGAAGGAATCACATCACAGAAAGTAAAATGATAATCACAGAGGAACTCTGGGAAGTCATGAAGCAGAACCAGCAACACTCTCAAAGTCCCTTTGTATAGGAAATGAACCTACAAATTTAATAAACAAACAAGAGAGAGACCATCTAAGTTACCATCGATAGTGTTCAATGCAAACAAAATACAGAAGAGGAAAAGGCACAAACTGGTCCTCCGAGTTCAGCATTTCTTAAAAATGGCTCAAGAAACTGGAGCAAGTCCACCAGCAATCGTTGGACATATGGCCAACCCTTCTGGCCATTTACTGTAAGTAGTTTGGGCATGAAGCTTCTGTGGCTGACAAGCTCTAGCCATGCGAAGCTGAAAATTGTATAAGAGCCTCAGTAAAGCAAAAAAATTATAAACAAAGCACAGATGTGAATAAAAAATAAAGAAAAGATTCCATTTTCACTAGAAGCATGCCAAGGTTTGGGTTTGTGTCCTAACCTGAAAGCAGGAATCTTAAGAGGCTGCAATGCGTGGAATGTGTTGGCAAAAGCTGTGAGAACCTGCAACAAAGGACCAATATTAGTGATATCAATAAATAAATAGTACATCAAAGAAAACAAATTGCACCTGAAAATTTGCACCATCAGTGCCAGGATCTAAGGAACATAAGTCCAGCAGCCAGTTGATGAACAATCGAAAATATGGTTTTGGATTGAGTGAAGTCTTTTTATCTTCTGCATCCTTTTGAATGCATCTCACAGTGACAGCCATGATCTGAGACCAGTAATCAATATCAAGCCCACAAACATTTTTGAACATTTCACCCATAATAGTCAAAGTTTGATAGTGTGTCTCCTTACCTCTGAAAGAAGAAATAACCTGCTGCTAGGCTCCTGCTCAGGGAAATACTGAACAGATTGTCATAAGAGAAAAGGAAACCGAAAAAAGCTTAGCAGGCAATGTATTTTGGGCTTTTCTATCCACGAGGCACACCATAAACACAAGCTTTACCTTCAAGATTGAAAACACAAGCTTTGCATACATATCGATGGCGAGGAATGATGGACTCTGAGCTTGTTGAGGAGATTGCACAGCACCAGAACTTATATCTTCAGAAGATATACAATGAGCAACAGAAATTTCCTAAAGAAAGAAAGACCAATGTTAGTAATGAGGCCAACGTTAGAAATCTCATGACATTGAAAATCCAAGATTTTCTTAAAAGGTTATATCACCAGAAGAGTTCGGAAAAAACTCTCTGTCGTATCATCTCCCTTAAGTAATCCAGTTTGATGCAAATGCAACACATATTGTGAACACGCGTTTTCATTTGCACCCGGAAGTTCGCAGATTTGATACCAGCTTTCAAAAAGCGTGGACACCTGCCAAACACGAAATGAAGAAATAACAAACTATATATGCATTTAAGGAAGAAAAAAGACACTACCTATAATTAAAATGGAAATTTAAAATGTGTAAACAGGCCAAAGAGGTTGGTAAAAAAAAAGTGTAATGTATGATAATAGCTTCACCAAAAAATTGGTTCTGTTCGTAGCTCGCAATTTGTGCAATTACCAATCAACCATTAAAAATTCTAGTTATTACTAAGTAAGGAAAACTGATAACATGCGAAATATTTACCCGATCCCGGAAGCCCGCAGGATCTGATTCCACATAATCTATGCTGGTATTCTCATCTGCATTAGAAGTGGTATTGCACGCAACCTAATAACAGAGCTAGCATGTCAAATAAATCCTCGGTCTCATTACAAGTAACGTTCAGTAACAAAATCATCTAAAACCTTTTCATCTTTTTGCCTATCATTGTTCTCATTTCCAGTTGCACAATCAGAGAGGCCGCCTGTGTTAGTAACTGGATTTCGTATGATGTCAATTAGCTGTTGCAATGACTCGGGAGATCCGGATTTTGAGGCAAGCTACAATCAAAACAAGAAAAATTAAATCCAACACCAAAACATTATATTTACCATGGAAAAAATATCAACATAAAAACAATATTTGCACCAGAAAACAACATCAGTCAGTTGGCATTCTATGATAATTAGCGTTATGCTGCAGTTTTAGCATAGAAACAATATATGAATCTAACCCCCTCCCCAGTTGTATGTTTTCACACCTATTGACTGGTTCTTCTAATGACAAGCTTTGATGATAATTAAACAAGAAATATACGACTGCAACAGCAAACGCAGAAGAATATAAAAATTGCAACCTTTGCCAGCGCATCAACAAGACTGTGGAGTTCTGAAATGACACTCGACTCTTCAGTGACCAAGGATTGGAGTAGAGAAATAGCAAAGTCAGTTGCGCTTTCTGCAAAGTAAACAACTGGTTAGACACTTCACTTAACATAAGAAAATGCACGTACGGAAGGACATAAACGGAGGATATGCGGTCAGCATACTGTTTCTTCCTCCATCAAGATGCTTCGCCATGTGGACATTATACTCCGCTAGGCTGAGCAACTCGCGTTGAATAAGACCAATAGTAATATCTTTGTTGAGCTTCCGCTCCTCCCCTGAATAAATCACCTGTGTTGAGAAGTTCCAAGAAAATTACATAATTATACTAGAAATGCCAAAGAAACAAATTTCGTAACAATAACAACAGGATAGTTCTCGTCATATATCATGAAAATATGAATGACTAGATCTTGAAAAAGTTTGTAACATACCCAACTAGTGAGCTCTTTAACAACAAGCTTGCAAACATCACGAATAGCAACAAGTATTGCTAGGTTAGCACTGACGTGAAGGTTACTTGATGCATTCTCATAAAGAGCCTTGAAAGCTTTTTGAGCGACAGCTAACGCGGCTTCATCTCTACTTATACATCTGAGGATAATTTCAGGAACTTCAGAAACCACGGCCTGACAATCAATGAAATCTCATTAGCCAACGATTGGAAAACCACATAAAAACATATCCAAAATTTCAAAAACGTTTTTTCTAAAATAACTAATAATTTCATCAA